GGGATAAAAGGGGTTTCAACAAAAATGCCAGGTGGATCAAGATCCATCGGCTCTGGCCACCTAAGAAGACGATAGTGTATAAAGGGACGGCTAAAAACGGGGAGGGTAAAGGAAGGAGTAGAAGAATTAGTAGAAGAAGAAGAAATGGAGGAAGCAGAAGGGGATGAATAAGGGGATGAACTTAAAGAAGAGGGAGAAGAAGGGGAAGGGGGAGAACGATATGATGAGGTATTAGGGAGGGTGGAAAGAGAAATAACAGGAAGGTTAGTAGGGGGAACTAAAGAAGATGCGAGAATAGGGGAAGGAAATGGGGAAGGAGAAAAGTTTGGGCCTGTGGAAGAAATCGAAGATGGGGAAGAAGAAGAAGCGGGGGAACTAACTGGTAATGTGGGAGAGTGAGGATAAAAACTTAAGGAAGGAGAAGAAGAAGACGAAGAAGAGGGAGAAGAAGTTGAAATAACGGAAGAAAGAGAAGAAGAAGCAGCTGTAGGAGAAGGGGAAAGAGAAGGAGATACAGCTGTTAAAGAAGAGGGAACTGAAGGGGGGATGGAAGAAAGGGAAGTTGAAGAAAGATGTCGTCGTCTTGGCGCGACAACTGCACGAGTGACACCTTGAACGCGAACCTGTCGAGTTCTTCGAGTCATCGTTTAAGATTCCTTGAAATGTTAACATGTAAGTTATTTTTTGGTTTACTTCTTTGTAAATAATATTTTCAAAAAAACAAGTTGCGAAAAGCGATACTCACCAAAAAGTAAAGAAAAGTTGGAATAAAGGTAGAATGAAGTTACGAGATCCTCTATTTATTTTCAAAAAAACAAAAGTTGGCCAATGAACAATCACCGACGATCATCATTACGTAATTCAAAATCACATAAAACGTCATACAAAGTGATCTGAATTTTTGTTCTATATTTAGCTCTATGAAATTATGAAAATTAAGCGATTAATAAAAATTTAAAATTGTGTATTTATTTAGTAATCTATCAAATTTATGAAGTATACTAAATTTTACATAAATAATGCAAACATATGTCCATATTCCAATATTTTATATAAAAAGCAAGGGTTCCATAATTTAATTCCCATTTGCATATTTTATGATAATAATGAAAAATTTTGTTTTAGTCAGTTTGTCGAAAATCATGTCTTGTTTAAAGATTAAATTCGCTATAAATGTTCATGATTAAGTTAGCTGCCGAGCATTATGACCGCAATTAAAGCTGAGAACAAAACGACACACAAAACAATTCATAATTTGAGATTTAACTCACGATGCGCACAAATGCCTATTTTGGGAAGTAAGAAAAGTTTTATATTCCGAAAAAAATTTAGGGTTTAATCTGAGAGAGAGAAGAAGAAAAACTTAATAGCCTAGCTATTGTTATAATATATATCCGGTCTTTTATAAGCTTTGCACTCAACTTCTTTGTTTAATATTAAAAGAAAGTATATCAAACAAGAAGATCTAATGAATAATTTACAATTAATAAAGTGTCACTTTTAATTAATTATAAGCTGTTAAATGATTTATTTATATTAATATTTGCCTTTCAGCGGAATTATTTAACAAAAATCAAATACTTAATGATACGGTGATATTTAAAGATACTAAGGATGCAGGACAAAACCTTAATCCTATTTGGCAAAAGTCGATACTTTCGGGAGTTTTCGACGGTTTGACAATTTCGACGAATTCATCAGATTTTAATTTGTAATCCAGTAATATAATGATAAAGTTAACATTAATTTATAATTACAAATAAAAAAATAATAATAAATAAATATAAGAATCCCTTAAATTATCTATCTATCTTTCATGTAACGTGTTTACCATTTCTATTTCTTCGGAAATTTCATGCTCATCCTCTTCATTCATATATTCTAATTATTATTTGATTCAATGTACTGTTCGCAGTGATTTATTAATTGTGGTGCTTTGCTTTGTTTTGACCATTCTAAAATTTCGCATACATTATAAACATTGACATGACTTCTTATAATAGTATCTTCCACTTTATCCTTGAGTGCGTCACCACCATGGATATCAGTTATCTTTAACAAATGAACCAAAAAGTTTAAATAATAAGTTTCATAACTTTCTGTTCGTCTGTAAAGTTTTCTTTCTTACGTAAGGTGACATTGTTGCTTCTTCAAAAGATTGTCCATACAGCCATTGATGAAACACCCGGCATGCCTCTGGTCGAACATCTTTTAATTCTATAATTTTAACTTCTTTGCTTGCTGACTCACTAAAGCCATCACAAAACGTCGTATTAAAGTAACTATTTGAAAACAAAATTTTATTACTTAATTGAGATAAAAAATTGACTGAAATATTTCTAACGTACCTGAAAGCACATATCTACTGGCACCAATTTGTTCCTTCTCACTACAACAATAAAAATGACATCGTTATATTCATTGTTAGAATGATTAATAAGTTTGTTCAATAAAAGATCAAACAATATATCTTTTTGATCATGTTCTCGGATTGTTACATTGTACGAATAATGGCCGGAGAAAAATTTTTGAGAAAATCTTTATGTCTAGAATCTTTCAAGGCTTTAATTATGTTGATATAACTGGAAATCCAATAGTGCTAATTATTTTAGGTAAATCGTTATACACCTATTCATCTTCCGAATATCCATTAAAAATTGATAACCAATGATAATTCTGATTCTTTGAATAAATGTATATCATATAAATTTGCTGGAACTTCAGATACTGTTCAAATATCATACAATGAAGGAGGTCCTTTGAATACACGATCCTCAAAATTAGGATTTTCTACAACATTTTGCAACAGATCCTTGCAAAATTTACCTATGCTACCTGATGTACTCCTCTAACTATTGGCTAAAATTTATATATATCATCGGATATAATGTTAGGAATTTTAAGCGGGAGCTCACGAAGAAATTTCGCCAAAGCCTTTGGTAAGACAATTTCAAATAAATATCTATTCCATGAAACTTTTAGACTAGCTAACGCATCCGCCGCCTATAATTTGACATTCGATATTCGATTTATTAATAAAATTTTTTATTTTAGCATACAATAATTACAGCATAAATATATATATAGTTCAATTACCAGGTCTTTGTTGTCTGCAGCCGACCATAGAGAACGACGATTAAAACTAACCTGTTAAAAAAATTATACAAATATGTATATTATTTTAAAGATTCAAAATAATGCACAATAGTATTAAGATTTCATTCTTACCGCGAAATATCCATGCACGGAAATGATAAAAGGCATAGAAATTGGAAGGGTTGTGAAAGCAAAATAATCTTCCCATAGCCCTCAAATCATTTAGGGGAACGGCTAAACCAATGAACTTGTAATCCTATATGGCTCTGTTCATCTTTTACTGATTCTAGTGGCTGAGATTAATGCATCATCATTTAATTTGCTATCACTAAAGGTTTGCTTTGTGTCTACAAGTCAGTTTATTTTATCTCAGTTTATTCTCTTTTAACCTGCACACCATGCCTATATTCGTTTAAATGATTTTGATAAATCTCACATTCCTTAGTAGTCTTTGTTTCCTTCTTTCCTGAATGTTTCTAAGGTAGTTCTTGTGGTCTTCAGCCATTACCCTTCTTTGTAGTTTCACTTTTAAATTGTCTCATAATTAGTGCTTAGATTGCTCATTTGATATTGCAGAATTTGTATTTAAAATTTTAACAAAATGATTTAATATATGGTGCGAACGGTCTAAAGCCACCACTTTTTTATTTTGTGGTCAAATTTTTTAGCTTTAATACGATCATGAGAAATAAATTTTAATTTATAGTCATGTGATTCACATTATCTAATTATTCTTATAATGCAAATAAAATAAGACTACTTCTAAAAAGAATTTTAAGTCAATATATAGTAAAAAATCAAAAAAAGGGATGATTTTTATTTAGATTTTTTGATCCAAATTAGGTAATTTCTATAATTCAGCCAACTTTATAATTGCCAAATTCATATTATATATGATCTAAGAGAGTTTATTTAAAAAAGCCTATTAATTGGTCACTTCTATTATTTTAAAGTTATATAACAAAAAGTGGTGCTTTAGACATACTCAAATTGAAATAAATTTATCATTGATATTTAATTTTGATCTTCATACCAAAAAATGATGCAGAATGTAATATAAAATTTATTTATTTTTTTAAAAGTTTATTATTTATTTGTAAGCAATAATCCTAATTCATTTTTTTTACATATTTTTCCATTAGGATTTCAAGCACATATGGGCGCGAATTGTATTAGCTTTAAAACCACATCTTTTAGTTAATATCAGTTCGGGTTCCCAAGAAAAAAACTTGTTCTGCTGGAACACTTGTTGCTTTATAAAAAATGTATTATTTAATATTTAATAATCGATATATATATTTTTTTTTTTACCTGTAATTGTTCACACCGTAATCCATTTGTATTCTAGAAGTTGTAATTTTGGTAACGTCAATAGGTTCACTCATTATTTGTTTGTTACAAATTAAAGTCGCGTAAATGTAAAAAAAAAAAAAAAAAAGGTCTAGCGAGTCAATTTATATATATTTAAATCATCATCCGGGTCGGGTCAACCGGGTCAAGCAAAAACGTGACAGGTTTTTTTGAGTTAGGACTCGTGTCATAAAAATGATAGTCCCGACTCGAAAGTCTCGATCTGCTCGGAGACCATTATAAAAAATTAATACCAAAAAACTTAAAATTCTTGTAATTCTATTCTCGGGCCTTGTAATAATATTTTAAAGCTAAATATATATCAAAAAGTGTTTTTCTTATATTTAGTAACTATTATTATTTTTGTAACTTGAAAGCTAGAATTGTAGTGCGACAAACATAGCGTCGCCCGTAAAAAATGGTAGCCGGATTTTATTTTCCGGGTATTTATTTATTAGGGTTAGGGTTTGGATTAGGATTAGGATTAGGGTAGAATTAGGATTAGTTAAGGGGTTTAGCAAATTTGTCATTTTGCTTCACATCCAGCCGTTCTTCAATTACTAAGTATTCTGGGGACAGAATTTTTTTTTGTGAGAAAAATGCTAATTATCACAATTATATGTCACCCCTAATAAGTTTAGGGCTGTTATTGTAGTGACAGTTTTGATTTGGCTTGTGTAACTTTATTAGTTTTTAATTAGATAAAACTCAGTATATATCACGGATATGTCTAAATCTGGTGCAATTACGTTACGCTTATTGATCACCTTAAAAATATAAAAAAAGTCGCAGTCGCTGCCTTTCCTCCATTCCTCTTCTTCTTTAAAGTAGAATTTTTGTAAAATGTCAGCAAAATTTTTTCCAACCTTAAGTCAAAATTATATTGAATTATTGAATGATGATAATTATTATGATGTTACTGTGGAGGTTGGTGAAGATCCTAATGTCAAAATATTCCGTGCGCATATGAATATTTTGTGCTATCGTTCTCCATATTTACGACGAGTTTTGTCTTCAAGTAAAAAAAGTAATGATAATAATACCTTGACACATTTAAAATTGCCAAATATTTCACCGGAAACCTTTCAAATTATTTTAAAGTAAGCGTTATCTATAAATATACGTTACAGTATGTACAGTATGATAATTTTAAATTTTATTTTAAAATCCTTTTCATAAATGTAGATATATTTATGGCGGCATTCTTTCATTTAATGAGCAAGACGTTTCAAACATTCTTAAAGTTTTGATAGCTGCTAATAAATTATGTTTTCAAGAATTAATTGATTACTTGCAAAAATATTTAATTGAACATAAATCCGAGTGGGTGGGACAACATTTTGAGATCATTCACCAAGCGAGCTTTGAATCAAATAATTTTCTAGAACTTCAACGATTTTGTACAGATTTAATTGCCAAATCACCTGAAAAGGTATTAAAATCACTTGACTTGACTTTTGTTTCTGAAAAATCTTTAATATCAATCATTAAAAGGGAGGATTTGGAAATGAAGGAAATTGAAGTTTGGGATTTTGTATTAAGGTGGGGACTTGCACAAAATCCAACCCTTGATCCAGACCCCGCCACTTGGACGGGTGATGATTTCAAAACTATAGAAAATACCTTGCAGCATTGTTTACCGTTAATCAGATTTTTTAGTTTGACTTCCAAAGAATTTTTACGAAGAGTTCGTCCTTATAAAAAGCTTTTGAAACATCAACTTTATGAAAATTTAATATCACACCATCTGGATCCGGAAAGTCAAATAACCCTTAATATTTTACCTCCTAGAGTTGGAAAGTTGGACTCAAAATATATTGATTCACAGATCATTAATGTAAATAATGTTTCCTTAATTTCAACATGGATAGATAAAGTGTATTTTAATAGTACCAAAGATTTATATTTACCATATAAATTTGAATTACTTTTGAGAGGGAGTCGAGACGGATTTACTCCTAAATCATTTCACACAATATGCGATAATAAGCCTATCACTGTCACATTTTTTAAAGTAAAAAGAACGGAAGAAATCCTTGGTGGATATAATCCTATAATATGGACTTCTGCTAATGGATTTGGTAAAACTAACGAGAGTTTTATTTTTTCTTTTAAAAATAAAGATAACGTGATCAAGGATGCGATTCAAAGTAATGTTAAGAATGCAGATTTTGCGTTAAATTATCACGAGTTGCACGGACCATATTTTGGAAACGATCTTATGATGATTTCATTAAATGAACTAAAAGATTGTAGAAATTATTATCGGAAATCATATTACGAAAAAAAGTTAAGAAATTATGATGCACAATATTTTCCTATAGAAGATTATGAAGTATTCCAAATTATTAAGAAATAAATTTTTTAGTTCAACTTATTTAATCTATCAGAAAATTTTATAGACATTATTATATTCCACAATTTGGAAAAATAAACCAAGAATCAGAAATTTCTTTTGATAATTAAGATGCGCCTGTTGGATTTATTTAAAGTATTTCACATTATAAACAATTTTTATCTAAATATATATTTTAATTAAAATTATTTATTATTTTTAGATTGTTCCAACGTAAACTTATCCTCTTCAAACATTTGAAAATCTAAATTAATATATATCTGAAAGTCAAAGCTTAAAATTTATAAATCATGACTTCAAAAGCACTATCCAAACGTTTCTTTTTTCAGCACAATTTTAGCATTATTCTCTTTTATATTGTATTTGTTCTACTATTTCTGGACAGTATACATCACAAACTAAAATTATAATATTTATAGTTATAGTACATCTCATTGACATCGTCTGAACAAGTGAGAAGGACGCACCATTCTAAATTTTGCAATCCGAATATTTATGATGCGTTTGATTTTTTCATTATAAAAGATTTGATTTTAGTGGTGTTATCTATACTTTTATTTAATCTTTTTTTTTTCTTGAAAAATTTTAGGATTAAATAAATTTTTTTCGTTGATATCAATTCCATGTATCTAAATTAAAAAGCACAAAAGTGCCTAAAACCCATTTTTTTTTTTTTTTATCTACACGTTAATATCCGAAGCTTATATAGAAAAAAAATATAATTAAAATAAAAGAATAAGCAATAATTTGTTGATCGAACTTATCACCTTCCAGAATTCATAGGAGACAAAATCTAATTTTTCAATTTTTCCAGCATCTTGAAATAATCGTAGTATCAAGCGGAATTTTTAAATAATTCGTCTCTGACTATCAGAGAAATTTTTCCGAGTTAAAATCAAGCGATAATTACTCTCTATGGGAGTTATTATTTACCTGATTTTATCGCAAGAATTTTTTTTTTAAAAAAAAAAAAAAATAAAAATAAAAATGAGCGAATGTACGCCTTTAGTTTTTCCTTATTAAAGCAACCCATAAAAAGAATTTTGAATTAGATGGGAATTTTGTGGGTAGCACAAAAAAATATTTTTTAGGGGCTGATGTTTTTATAAATCTGGTGTTACGAATTGAATTGAACAAACAAAATAAACGAGATTTCTTCCGGTTATGCATCCAAGAAAGGCAAAGCCATAGACTTTTTTTTTCATAGAAATAAATTTTTTTTTTTTTTTTTGACTTCAAACGTCCATTTCAACCAAAATATATATATATATATACACTATAATAAAATCAAATCTATAAATCTGTAAATCTTATAAAAATCAAGAGGGATTAAAAATGAAAAATGAAAGGAAATTTCTCTTTAAAAGGAAAATGAAATTACTTTGTGTGGTTGGTTCGATTTTGCTTGGAATGACTTTGATTCTTTGGCTTTTTGTTCCTACGGATCCTATTTCTGATCCTCCTTTGAAAGATACTAAAAAAGAAAATACCGATAAACCTAAAGAAATACCTACAGAAATACCGAGTAAACAACATAAAATTTTACCATCAACAAATCATTCACATTCGAATTCGAATTCAAAATCTAAAGTAAATTCACAAGATTCAAATGTAATTCCATCCTCACACCCAGAAACACATCCGGAACCTCCAAAAGATATGACACCTTCATTAGTAACTAAACAGCCTTTACAAACCCCTTCACATACAAAATTGAAAGAATCACAACCCACAGCAACACATTCAACTGAAGTAAAGAATTACAAAACGTTCAATTTAACACTTCGAAACGAAACACGATCACCCGACGGATTTTCTCGTTATGTATATACGATAAACAACCAATTTCCAGGTCCAGAAATAACCGTGAATAAAGGAGATAATATCAGAATCAATGTAACAAATTATATTGGTCACCCAACAACGATTCATGTTCATGGAATGATCCATAAAGAAGCGGTTTATATGGATGGAGTTCCTTACATCACGCAATGTCCAATTCAAAATGGAAGCAGCTTTATTCTTGATTTCAAGGCCACGCATCCCGGAACTTATTGGTAGTAAGTAGAAGTGATGACGAGGCGCGGCGAACTTTTAAATTTTATCTCAACGTTTTATTTTAGTTATTCGCATTACGAAACACAACGTGCGGATGGATTATACGGTGCATTGATTGTAAAAGATCCGGAGGAATCGAAGCTATATAATTATGATGACGAGGAAACAATTTTGTTATCAGACTGGTACCATGACGAATCCGCTGCATTATTAAAAAAATATAAATACAGCAACGCGTCGATTTCTGATTTTTTCGAGGTATTTTATAAGCATTCTTTTAATACGTACGTTTGTTAATAACCTATCACTAATTGAACTTTTGTTAAAGCCCTTTCCTAATAGCGGATTGATTAATGGCAAAGGGATTTTTAACTGTGAGAATTATGAGAACGAATTAAAAAATAAAGAAAAATGTAATTCTGAAGAATTAAAGATAATAGAATTTAATTTCGAACCTCAAAAAAAAACTCGTCTTCGGATTATAAACACGAGGTAATTCAGTTGAGCATATTATTTAAAAAAAAAATTTTAAATATTATTAATTTAAATTTACCTTTAGCGCAATTACATCATTTTACTTTTCAATCGATGGACATATGCTTCAAGTAATCGAAGTTGATG